ATAATCATGTGGTTTTTTGTTTTTGGTTCTGTTTATGTGGTGAATTACATTTATAGACTTGCATATGTTGAACCAGCCTTGCATCCCCGGGATGAATCCTACTTGATCATGGTGGATAAGCTTTTTGATGTGCTGTTGCAATCGGCTTACCAGTATTTTATTGAAGATTTTTGCGTCTATGTTCATCATGGATATTGGCCTGAAGTTGTCTTTTCTTGTTGAGTCTCTGCCGGGTTTTGGTATCAGGATGATGTTGGTCTCATTAAATGATTTGGGAAGGATTCCGTCTTTTTTGATTATTTGTAATAGTTTCAGAAGGAATGGTAACAGTTTCTCTTTGTGTGTCTGGTAGAATTCGGCTGTGAACCCATCTGTACCTGGGCTTTTTTTGTGTGATAGGCTCTTAATTGCTGCCTTAACTTCAGACCTTGTTATTGGTCCATTCATAGTTTCGACTTCCTCCTGGTTTAGGCTTGGGAGGACGCAAGTGTCTAGGAATTTATCCATTTCTTCCAGGTTTACTAGTTTATGTGCATAGAGTTGTTTGTAATATTCTCTGATGATGGCTTGAATTTCTGTGGAATCCATGGTGATTTCCCCTTTATCGTTTTTTATTGCATCTATTTGGTTATTCTCTCTTTTCTTTTTTATCAGTCTGGCTAGTGGTCTATTTTGTTGATCTTTTCAAAAAACCAGCTCCCAGATTTATTGATTTTTTAAGGGTTTTTCATGTCTCTATCTCCTTCAGTTCTGCTCTGATGTTAGTTATTTCTTGTCTTCTGCTAGGTTTTGAGATTTTTTTTATCTTTCTCCTCCAGCTCTTTGAATTTTGACATTAGGGTGTCAATTTTGGATCTCTCCACTCTTCTCATGTGGGCACTAATTGCTATATATTTTCCTCTAGAGACTGCTTTAAATGTGTCCCAGAGATTCTGGTATGTTGTGTCTTCATTCTCATTGGTTTCAAAGAACTTCTTTATTTCTGCCTTCATTTCATTGTTTATCCAGTCAACGTTCAAGAGCCAGTTGTTCAGTTTCCATGAAGCTGTGTGGTTCTGAGTTAGTTTCTGTATTCTGAGTTCTAACTTGATTGCACTGTGGTCTGAGAGGCTGTTTGTTATGAGTTCAGTTGTTTTGCATTTGCTGAGGAGTGATTTACCTCCAATTATGTGGTCAATTTTAGAGTAGGTGTGATGTGGTGCTGAGAAGAATGTATATTCTGTGGATTTGGGGTGGAGAGTTCTGTAAATGTTATCAGGTTTGCTTGTTCCAGATCTGAGTTCAAGTCCTGGATATTTTTGTTAATTTTCTGTCTGGTTGATCTGTCTAATATTGACAGTGGAGTGTTAAAGTCTCCCACTATTATTGTGTGGGAGTCTAAGTCTCTTTGTAAGTCATTAAGAACTTGCCTTGTATATCTGGGTGCTCCTGTATTGGGTCCATAGATATTTAGGATCATTAGCTCTTCTTGTTGTATTGATCCTTTTACCATTACATAATGTCCTTCTTTGTCTCTTTTGATCTGTGTTGCTTTAAATTCTATTTTCTCAGAGACGAGAATTGCAACTCCTGCTTTTTTTTTTTTTGTTCTCCATTTGCTTGGCAAATCTTCCTCCATCCCTTTATTTTGAGCCTTTGTGTATCCTTGCATGTGAGATGGGTTTCCTGAATTCAGCACACCGATGGGGTTTTGGCTTTTTATCCAATTTGCCAGTCTGTGTCTTTTGATTGGTGCATTTGTGTGAATTTGATTCTGCCATTTTGATGCTAGCTGGCTGTTTTGCTGATTAGTTGATGCAGATTCTTCATTTTGTTGATGCTCTTTAGCATTTGGTATGTTTTTGGAATGGCTGGTACTGGTTGTTCCTTTCTATGTGTAGTGCCTCTTTCAGGAGCTCTTGTAAAGCAGGCCTGGTGGTGACAAAATCTCTGAGTATTTGCTTGTTCACAAAGGGTTTTATTTTTCCTTCACTTCTGAAGCTCAGTTTGGCTGGATATGAAATTCTGGGTTGAAAGTTCTTTTCTTTAAGGATGTTGAATATTGGCCCCCACTCTCTTCTGGCTTGTAGGGTTTCTACCAAGAGATCTGCTGTGAGTCTGATGGGCTTCCCTTTGTGGGTGACCCGACCTTTCTCTCTGGCTGCCCTTAGCATTTTCTCCTTCATTTCAACCCTGGTGAATCTGACAATTATTTGCCTTGGGATTGCTCTTCTTGCGGAATATCTTTGTGGTGTTCTCTGTATTTCCTGCATTTGAGTGTTGGCCTGTCTTGCTAGGTGGGGGAAATTTTCCTGGATAATATCCTGAAGAGTATTTTCCAGCTTGGAGTCATTCTTTTTGTCACATTCAGGTACACCTATCAAACATAGGTTAGGTCTCTTCACATAGTCCCACATTTTTTGGAGACTTTGTTCATTCCTTTTTGCACTTTTTTCTCTAATCTTGGCTTCTCGTTTTATTTCATTGAGTTGATTTTCAACTTCCGATATCCTTTCTTTGCTTGGTCAATTCGGCTGTTGAGACTTGTGTATGCTTCGCGATGTTCTTTTGTTGTGTTTTTCAGCTCCTTCAATTTGCTCATATTCCTCTCTAAGTTGTCCATTCTTGTTATCATTTCCTCAAATCTTTATTCAAATCTTTTTTCAAGGTTCTTACTTTCTTTGCATTGAGTTAGAACACATTCTTTTAGCTCATGGAAGTTTCTCATTACCCACCTTCTGAAGTCTGATTCTGTCATTTCATCACACTCATTCTCCATCCAGCTTTGTTCCCTTGCTGGTGAGGAGTTGTGGTCCCTTGTAGGAGGCGAGGTGTTCTGATTTTGGGTGTTTTCCTCCTTTTTGCGCTGGTTTCTTCCCATCTTTATGGATTTATCCACCTGTCATCTGAGTAGTTGCTGATTTTCCAATTGGGTCTCTGAGTGGATGTCCAGATTATTCATGATGGAGTATTTCTGTTTCTTAGTTTTCCTTCTAACAGTCTGGCCCCTCTGCTGTAGGACTGCTGAGGTCCACTCCATGTCCTGCTTGCCTGGGTACACCTGTAGCAGCTGCGGAACCGTGAGGGTTGCTACCAGTTTCTTCTTCTGCTATCTTTGTCCCAGAATGATGCCCACCAAATTTCAGTCTGATCAGTCCTTTGTGAAGTGACTCTTTGGATATACGGGGGTCAGGGAGCTGCTTGAGGAGACTGTACTTTATACTTGAGGAGACAGTCTGTACTTTATAGGAGCTCAAGTGGTGAGCTGTGAGCTCCGTTGTTCATTCAGGGCTGCTAGGCAGGTACGTTGAAGTCTGCTGCAGCAGAACTCAAAGCCCCTTTTTTTACTCAGGTGCTCTGTCCCGGGGAGTTAGGGCTTTATTTATGAGTATCTGTTGCACCGTCCTGCCCAGCAAGGAGGCAGTCTAATCACTGCCTGCCTGTAGTGGCTATGCTGAGCTGCCGTGGGCTCCACCCTGCTGTCGTGGGCTCTGCCCTGCTGCCATGGGCTCTGCCCTGCTGCCCTATGTAATTCCCTGTAGTCCTGTTTATATGGGTGTGGTTAGAGCTGCAATGGTGATGGTGGCCCGCGTCTGTAGTGGCGGACTCCCTCTGTTATGGCAGGTTGCCTCAGCAACAGCGGGCTGCCTCAGCAGCAGCAGGCTGTGTCAGGGGGTTGAGCGCCTCGGTAATGGCGGATGCCCCTCCTTCTCCGAGATGCACCGTCCTGCGTTCAGCTGTGCTTGCTGTGAAACTCTCAACCCCAAGCGTTTCCAATTGCTGTTTTGTTTGTTTTTGTGGGGGTGGGACCCACCAAGCCTGATCACCTGGCTCCCTGCCTCAGAGCCCTTTTTTTTTTTTTTAAGTTGAATGGTTGAATCTCTCCCAAGTGTTCCAGTCACCTGCTGAAAGGGCTCCGGGATCTGTGTGATTTCCCGTGCAGCGACCCGCTGCGCCGGCTAGAACAGCGTTGCTGCCTGGGAGTCTCCTGGCCTGGCTTTCTGTTTAAGTCCCGTTTAATCAGATGAATGTGCTAATCTGCCTTCCGAAATCTCCAACTGATGGTTTAACAGGGCAACCAAACCAGTGTATTTTGTACCAAGTGCCGCTGCGCTGCAGCCCTGGCCCAAACAGCCGCGCTGGTGGCCTGTGTAGCTCCTACACCTGGGAATCTCCTAGTCTGTGGGCAATAAAGATCTGTCTGGAAATGCAGAGTCCACTCACCCTCTGCGCTTTCACTGGGAGCTGCAATCCTGAGTTGATCCTACAGCGCCATCTTCTTCAAGTCTATTTTTAGGTTTTATACTTAAATTTAGGAAGCATGTTGTGGAAACTTTTGCATATGGCAATGAGATATGGATTTTTTTTTAAATAGTAATCAGTTAAAAAATTAGGACTCTTTCCAGATAAGGAAATTAGAATAACAGTTCTACTAAAGGCACATTTGTTGTTTAAAGAAAAGGGGAGAAGTTTCTCTTTAAGGTAATAGGGAGTAAATTATTGCTGCTCATTTGTGTCTTGAGTCTAATTTGGGGCATACTTTAATGAATGAGCAATTATTGTCCAAAACCATACATTATTATTATTACCTAGGTTATTTGGTGATGGGGATAGATTTACTTCATCTAAACTAGTCATGTAATTGTATTGATATATTTATACGACAAACATTTTTAGGACCGAAGAAGCCTTCATCTGCTTTAGGTAGATGAAAGTGGGAACGTAAATTCTTTGCGGCTCCATTAATGACCTGTATGCAATTAACATCTGATTTCTAGAATGAAAGATAGTCAAAGTAATTAACTTTCTCGAACCACAAAATTATTCTTATATGAAGAACATCTGTCAGCATTAAGGGACAGGCTCTTGGGAATGTACTAATAAAGATTATGAGAGAAAGACCTGTGACACATAAGAAAGTTTTTAGTGAGTAGTGCTTGGGGTCATTTGTGAAATAGAAAGTGTCTCAGTAATTGGCGGTGCTATCAGAGCCTTCTAATCACCTGCATTTTCCTCCGTAGGTCATCAGCTCAATGAGCTCCCTTTCTGAGTACTGCCTGCCTTCCATTCTACGTACATTATTTGACTGGTATAAAAGGCAAAATGGCATTGAGGATGAATCACATGAATACAGACCAAGAACAAGCAATAAATCAAAAAGGTACATTTCTTTTGTGTAAGGATCATGGTTTTATTTTGTTTTATTTTCAAGAAACATACATCAGAATTAGAGTTGCCAGGCAATTGGGTCTTCGTGACTCTTCACAAGGATACCTAGCAGCTGCTACAGGGGCCAGGTAACCCATTTGGAGCACCAAGTCACTGCCAGCCATCACAGGGTGAAAATTCATACTCAGCCTTATTTCAACTTTGGTGGAGACAGGTGTGAAGGACCACAGGTCAGTTTCCTACCAGCTTCTTTCCTCTGCCCTCTCCCACCGAGTCTGCACCCAAAGCAGAATGCTGGCTGCAGGCCATGCGTGACATGCCAAGATAGTTTAGTCCTCATTCCAGTAACCTTGAGTGCTCAGTGTACTGTAGTGGGAAGGACGCTGGATTGAACATGAGTAGTAGACCTGGCGCTGCCACTAATTAGCCATGTGACTTTGGGCAGCTCCCCACCCTTCATACCTCAGCCTCCTTGTGAGCAAAACAAGGAAGTTAGGTGACACCATCTCCAACTCCTCCTTCCAGCTGAGTATTTTGTGTATTTATTCTGTGTTCCCTTCTTCTTGTGGGTTTAAAAAATGGAACTTCCTGATCTAGGAGCACATCACCAGCTGTAAAACTTAAGATTCTCATTAATGTGTGTCCCCCCAAATTTTAGGTAAGCACATATAATTTCATGTGCTTGAAGTCAACCAATAGCAAGGCAGTGAATATAAGAAAGATTAACATACTTACTTTATTTTTAAAAATAAAAGATTATTTTAAAAAGTAGTCAGACTACTCCATATAAATGGATTATTCCCATTTAAAAAATACTTTGAAAGTCAGTAAACTGAAATTAATCAGTCAGAAAATCAAACATTAACTACTTTTTGTGAATGATTTATCCCTCTCATTTTTCTTGAAAGTTCTAATACTGTTTCAAAAGACTTCTTTTGAATTGAAGAATTGTAATATCACCATATTATACTTTGACCAAATTTGTGATGCAGTTTTATAATGTGCTTGAATTATGCAAGATTTAATCATATAATTTTGTTTGGGAGAGAGATTAATGACTTTTTCATATTGAATTATTTTTTAGTGAAGGAAATTTTTAGATATAACACAGATGCCATAAAATTTACCCTTTCAAAGTATATAATTCAGTGTTTTTAGTATACTTGCAGGGTTGTTCAAACATTACCACTCTAATTTCAGAACATTTTTATCATCCCCAAATCCTGTACCCATTAGTAGTCTCTCCTCAGCTATTTATCTTTGTTTTTATTGCATTTGCTTTTAGGTTTTGGTTATGAAATCCTTGCTTAAGCCAATGTCTAGAAGGGTTTTTCCAATGTTATCTTCTAGAATTTTTATAGTTTCAGGTCTTAGGTTTAAGTCCTTAATCCATCTTGAGTTGATTTTTGTATAAGGTGAGAGAAGAGGATCCAATTTCATTCTCCTACGTGTGGCTAGCTAGTTATTCCAGCACCATTTGTTGAAAAGGTCGTCCTTCCCCAGTTTATGTTTTTGTTTGCTTTGCCAAAGATCAGTTAGCTGTAAACACCACATAAACAGAATTAAAAACAAAAATCACCCGATCATCTCAATAGATGCAGAAAAAGCAGACAGAATCCAGCATCCCTTTATGATTAAAACCCTCAGCAAAATCGGCATACAAGGGACATACCTTAATGTAATAAAATCCATCTATGACAAACCCACAGCCAACATAATACTGAAAGGGGAAAAGTTGAAAGCATTCCCTCTGAGAACTGGAACAGACAAGGATACCCACTCACGGCACTCTTCTTTAACATAATATTAGAAGCCCTAGCCAGAGAAGTCAGACAAGAAAAAGAAATAAAGGACATCCATATAAGTAAAGAAGAAATCAAACTGTCACTGTTTGCTGACAATATGATCATTTCCCTTGAAAACCTTAAAGACTCCTCCAGAAAGCTCCTAGAACTGATAAAAGAATTGAGCAGAGTTTCCAGATACAAGATTGATGTATACAAATCAGTAGCTCTTCTGTACACTAACAGCGACCAAGCAGAGAATCAAATCAAGAACTCAACCCCTTTACAATAGCTGCCAAAAACATTAAGATACTTAGGAATATACCTAAGCGAGGAGGCAAAAGACCTCTACAAGGAAAACCACAAAACACTACTGAAAGAAATCAAAGATGACACAAACAGATGGAAATATGTCCCATGGTCATGGATGGGGAGAATCAAGATTGTGAAAATGACCAAAAGCAATCTACAAATTTAATGCAATCCCCAATCTCCATCCCATCAAAATACCACCATCATTCTTCACAGAATTAGAAAAAAAAAATTATAAAATTCATATGGAACCAAAAAAGGGCCCTCATAGCCAAAGCAAGATTAAGCAAAAAGAACAAATTTGGAGGCATCACACTATGTGATTTCAGATTATATTATATATAAGGCCATAGTAAACCAAAATGGCATGCTTCTAACTTTTAAATGAGCGCAAATGGCTGCCTTGCTTCTCTGACCTCTTCTTCCGTCTACCTTTTACTCTTCTCTCTCATCTTCATTTCATCTTTCCTCTGTTCACTGAGTCTCAAGTGGCAAAAATGCAAGATTAAAGGGACAAGGAAAGAAAAGAAAAGCAATGCCAATCCTCTTCACCCCTGCAGTCCGGCTCAAATTGGTGATCATATTATTTCCTTCTTGTTTCCTTACCTTGTTTAGCTCCTTTCATAAGATTTTTCAATGGTAGCCTGTCTCAAGTTTGTATCACATTTTACAGATGGTAGAATTCCTGAATTAAAAGCTACCTTAGAAGAGGCCACAAGGTGAGGTGATAGACTCACAAATAGCTACTCAAGTTAACAACACTGAAAATTTGAAATTTGAAATCAAATATTCTGACTTCAAATCCAGTTTGTCCACTGCAGCACACAGAGAATAGAAAGAGCATTAGCATGTTTTTTGTTTGTTTTTATTGCTGTTTTTTTGAGACAGTCTCACTCTGTTGCCCAGGCTGGAGTGCAGTGTCACAATCTCTGCTCACTGCAACCTCCACCTCCCGCATTCAAGCAAGTCTCCTGCTTCAGCCTCTCAAGTAGTTGGGATTACAGGCATGGGTCACTACGTCCAGCTAATTTTTGTATTTTAATAGAGACGGGGTTTCACCATGCTGGCCAGGCTGTTCTCGAACTCCTGACTTCAGATGATCCACCCACCTCAGCTTTCCAAAGTGCTGGGATTACAGGCGTGAGCCACTGTACCTGGCCAACGTTAGCATGTATTTACCACTGTAATTATGTAATTTTAAAAATGGGTTTTGCAGTCCACTAGGAGGAATCCTAGATTTTTGATGAATTATATTAGTCTGAGGATATTTTCAGTGTGCTTTAATGTAAATATTTTGAATTTTACAGCGATGAACAACAGCGAGATTATTTAATGGAAAGACGGGACCTCGCCATTGATTTTATTTTTTCTTTAGTATTAATAGAAGTTTTGAAACAGGTAGGTGATTAATTTATTGTTACATTTAGATAATATTTATTGATCTAAAAACTAATTAAGTTGTAAAAGTCTAAGTTTTTTAAATTATGAATTCCCAATACTGGGTCATATGAATTGTGTTTATTGATGGCTATTGATTGTCATATGTAGTTATTGGAAGTACTGTTACTGATTTGTTCTTTAATATTCTCCTCTGAGTTAAGAACCACCTTTTTTTCTTTCAGATTCCACTTCATCCTGTAATAGACAGTTTAATACATGATGTTATTAACTTGGCTTTCAAGCACTTTAAATACAAAGAAGGGTAAGGTGACTTTTCACCTTCGAATGTTGAAGTTGGTATTTAAAAGTAAGTCAGTGGTTTCCTTTTTTCAGATGACCAGGGATCCCTAACTTGTCTAATTATACCATACTTAGGTACCTTGGTCCCAACACTGGCAATATGCACATTGTGGCAGACCTGTATGCCGAAGTCATTGGAGTGTTGGCACAAGCCAAGTAAGTGAATGCCAAAACCCTTTACCATGAGAATGTGACTGCTTTCGCTCTCCTCTCAGCCCTAAGTTAAGGAAGTTGGGGTTTAGCTTACAAGGAACTAGGGCTTTTTGCTATGTGTGCCCCATCTCTGAAACTGACTAAAAAGCTCTTCCAAGACAGATACCAAGTTATCAGTTTTACTTGGCATTTGGGCCAAATCCTACCCAGAGTCCATGGGCTTCAGATTAGTGCATCAAGCAAATGGGCCGACCAGGTTACATTTCTCTCTGCCTAAATATTCCAAGGAAGTTTATCAGTTTTGAAAGTTCTGTTTTCTCTAGTCTATGAGTGGGTGGTTACAATATATCATCTATCAGTGGGAAAATTCCATTCTAGAATGTCCCCTTTACTATAGACCTTACTTAATTCAGCTGAGCTAAAAATGTCCCAGACTCTGTCATGGAAACAAGTCAGGGGGGAAATTCTCATTGCTAAATTTATCTGGCCCCGCCGCACTACTTAGCAAGCAAGAACAAAATTGCATTAGAATATTAACAACAATATACCTCTTCCAAAAGTGATGTCACACCCTACTTACCCGGCTTCATTTTGTCCAACCCTGAGGCAAATCAGGCAAGATCCTGAATGCCTAAGTTAGGCAAAATAAACCAGAGACATAATGTGAATTCATGCCAGGAGTTCATCTTAAAGCAACATGATGCTCTGATCCTTGTGAAACACAATCCTTCCTCAGAGAGAGATTTTTATCTTCAACAGATTGAATTTCCTAAGTTAGTGGCATGGAAATACACAATTTGTCAAAAAACAATAATTTTAAAAAGCACTTAACAGTCTTACCTAGCCAAAACATAGAAAAACTTAGGAAATAAACCCCCTAAACTCTTTGGCATAATTTATTTAATCTAATCCAGTTTATCTACTCATCCTACCTTTTTTTGAATATCCATAACACATCAGTGTTTGAAGGAGGAAAGGGAACTCCTAGAGGACGATACACTGACGCCACTGAGAAATCAAGCTCAACAGCTGGCAGAAGCAGAAAGGAAAATGACTGGCCAAAGCATACATAAGAATGAAACCATAGAGTTACCTGGGCCATTTTGCGTGAGGCTATGTTATAGCTTTATTATAGCCTATTAAAATAATTGTGGTTCATGAATCATTAAGAAAAAAAAGTATAATGCATTTTGGAGAGATTTCCATTGCAGTTGAGTAATGAAAGCATTGGCATTTTGAATGGACAAGCTGGAGTTACCTGGCAAATCAATTCATGTGTATCTACTTCATTTCTAGAAAAGACTGGGGAAAATGAGGTATTAGCATGTGTATTTGCTGATTTGTCAAACCCTGAAAATCTCAACATAAAATTCCAGCTATCAGTTGGAAACTTTAGTATGCCAAAAAATGACTTTTTGTGTTTTCCTTAGTTTTTGTGAATTGTACATGACATAGTATTGGTTACTGTCAAATGACCTTTCTTAGCTCTGTGATTCTGAACTGGATGTGAATAAGCTGAAAACACTGTCACAGCTAAGCAATATTCTAAGCTTGCAGGAATTTCCATTTTAGGTAAGATTTATTTTTGCCGGTGTTTGCTTGCCAGCAGTGGCTTTTTTTTAATATTTATGATGTCAGTATTTGTCCCTATTCTGCGGTAGTAGGGTATAAGAAATCCTCTGTTTGCACAGTGCCCCAGTACTTTCCAGTATCTAGTGAAACCCTTGGCCTGTCTGCTCTTGTAGTAATCGTGAACTCAAATAGCCCTTTATGTGCTCTCAGCTAGTCAATGTGTAGTTAACCTTGATGGGTAGATGGTATAAACTTAAACCAGTGTCAAACCACGCACAAATTGTGACATTACGTCTTTTTCTTAAGTGAACCAGGACCATTACTTTATTGTTATCTTAGAAAAGTGCTGTTTCCTTCATTCTCAGGGGGAAAGAAAGAATGTATGTTTATCTGGTACAGCGTGATTATCTTTAAAAAAAAAAAGTTGAGTAATCATTCTAATTTTAGATTATATATCTCAGTCCCAATGATAATGGCTATTAAATATTTTCCTGATTATGACTTTAGTTATTAGTACTGACTTTGGAATTTGAGTTTTAGCAGAATCACTATTTTTAGTCTTACTGGTGATGCTGCTATTTTGTTCTTGTCATTTAGGGAAGACGTTTTTGGTGATAAGTATTATTCACACATAATATTGACTTTTTCAAAGTCAAAACAAATTTAAGTACTTTGGCAAAATCTGGTAGATTCATTTAAATAGTAATAATGCTTCATCTAAGAATCGTAGATTTTTAAACTACTTTCTCTTATGCAATATTATCTTTGTATGTTCTTCTCATCTTTGTAATATGTACTGTGTATTTTAAAGCAGAGGTTTATATTATGTGAATTTTATAGTATACCAAAGACCAAGTAATCATTGGGTTACAGTATTTACTAAATACAGTACTAAATAGTAAATACTAAAAGAAAGGTCATTGAAATTTTTTTTTTTCTTAAAAGTCATTTTAAGAGAAAACAGATATTTAAATGCAAATAGATTTTGGGATTACTTTTGTGCTAATAACATGTTTATGTCATTTGGGACTTTTAAAAGTAAAAGTTAGACATATTTATTTTTAAATGAGCAATACACTTTTAGCCACTAAACTCATGAGAATATTGAAACAGTGAGTTAAACAAATAACTTGCCTTTTTCTGACTCTCCTTGTTTTAGTGGTGGATTCAAACTGGAAAACAAACTTTCCTTAGTATCATGTCATCTTTAAAACCATGTATCTCTAACCTATAATATTTTTCTCTCTAAACTTGTACATTTCAAAATTAAGACCACAGTTATTTTAGTATCTGGAAATAATTTGGACAGAAATATAATTTTTTCAAATTCAGTTTGGGGGTGTTACATTTTTATAATCTTGATTGAAAGTATCACTTCCATTGCTTGGCCATGGTCATTTCTGCCCCCTATCTTTTATCCATCTCTGCTGAATGACCTCTGCTCACCTTTACCCTAACTCAAATCTCCTCCAAAATTCTCTGTAATTAATGATGCAGCTGAAAAGAGCCCCTTCATTCTCTGATGCCTGCCCTGAAGCCTCTTTAAGTATATTGTTCACCAAATAGTCAGCATGAAATATGATAAAGTGATGGAATCTGGTTCATCTGACCTTTCTGAAGATCAGAAAGGTCTGGGCAGTGTCCAGCAGGTGCTAACACATAGTAGGCCCCTGGTGAATTATGAATATTGTGATTCACATGGCTCATGGTCAGTGCTACCTGGTTTTATCTTCCTAATTACACTATAAACTATTCTAGAGAGAGCAGAGTCTACGTGTCGCAGTTACCACTGCCTAAGATAGCTGTGGTGTAATGGAAATTCCTGGAATTTGTACCAAAACCCCTGGATTTGATTTGCTACTGTGTCTTCCAATCTGTTAATTGGAAATGCAGTCACTGCCTAATTTATTGGATTGTAAATAAGGATCAAAATGTGAAACAGTATAATCATTTAAAATATAAAACAACTTACAGATATATCTTGCTATTGTTAGTCTACACCAGTGTTTCTCAAACTTTGTCACATCAGAAACACCTGTAGAGCTTATTAAACACAAATTACTGGACTTCATCTCCAGAATGACTGATTCGGTAGGTACGTTATTCTGCTCAAGCTGCCATAACAAAGTGCTGCAGACTAATTGGCTTAAACAACAGAAATTTATTTCTCACAGTTCTGGAGTTGAAGTCCAAGTTCAAGGTGTTAGCAGGGTTGGTTCCTTCTGAGGCATCTCTCCTTGGCTTGTATGTGGCCGTTTTCTTCCTGTATCTTCGTATGGTCTTCTCTGTGTGTCTCTGTACTCATCTCCCAGTCCTGTTGACATCTTTAAAAGAAGGGGAGACGGGTACAGAGACACACACAAAGATATAACTTCATTTTAACTGAACACCTTAGCTGGGGAGATTACATGGTGTCCATTTTATGATAATAACTTTGTTTTAAGTTAATTGACTTTTTATTCTGATCTCAGAAGGTTCGGACTTCAACATATGAATTTGAGGGACACACAATTCAGCCCTAATAGTAGGTCTGCAGTAGGACCAGAAAATGTTCTGATACCGAATAAATTTTTGTAAATTGAATAAAGCTTCTATTTTAATTTTTGGTAATTTCCTAATCTGAAAAATTAATATACCAATTAATCTCCATGGAATTTTACTTATAAAGTAAACATAAGTAATATTTTCTACCATATTCTAATAGTATTTTTTTAAATGTCTAAGGGGCCAGTTTGGGATGCTATCTTGAAATTGGGTGTTTTGCAGATGTCCACAAAATGCCACCAAAGATTAGTAATATACCCTGAAACATTCTTAGCGATGCTAATAACCCATAAGGGAATATCTCATTCATAAGTTATTTAAATCGTCTTGAAGCTATTTATATTTTCTGTTCAATTGCCTTTTAAAAATCTTTTTTTGTTGAGAAATACATGTAGCAAAGAAAAATCCATAAGGCAGTTAAACAAATTATTATAAAATGGACATCATGTTACCTTCCCACCTAAGCCAAGAAAATTGACAGCACTTCAAAATCCCCTCTTGCCACCCACCAGCCCGTGTACTGCCTTTGGTTGAACAATGTCTATATGTTTACTGCCTACTTTATTTGTCCTGAAATTTCGACTTTAAGGTCTTAAGAGTTGTTCCAAACTTCTGCTAGTTCACCTTTAACTTTTATAATCACAGTTACCTTGTTTTTTGTTTTTTTGTTTTTTTTTTTTTTTGGTGAGACAGAGTCTTGCTCTGTCACTCTGTCACCCAGGCTGGAGTGCAGTGGCATGATCTCAGCTCACTGCAAGCTCTGCCTCCCAGGTTCAAGCGATTTTCCAGCCTCATGCACACCACCATGCCTGACTAATTTTTGTATTTTTAGTAGAGACAGGGTTTCACCATGTTGGCCAGGCTGGTCTCGAACTCCTGACCTCAGGTGATCCATCTGCCTCAGCCTCCCAAAGTGCTGGGATTACAGGCTTGAGCCACAGCATCCAGCCACAATTACGCTTTTTAATCATGGCTTGCTTCTAATTTTTCATGGAACCTCAGGCTAATAGTCTCAGAAAACAAAATACAATAAATCTTAAGACTGTTTTCTTTGGAAAGTGTATGTGTGCATATGAGAGAGAGAGAGAGAGTGTGTGTATTTTTAATGAATAGCCAAACCAGCTGTCTCAGACTTAGTGGTTTGGACAGTTTTGTTTTCTTTTTGTTTTGTTTTGAGACAGAATTTCACTCATGTTGCCCAGGCTGGAGTGCAGTGACATATTCTCGGCTCACTGCAACCTCTGCCTCCTCAGTTCAAGCAATTCTCCTGCCTCAGCCTCTCGAGTAGCTGAGATTACAGGCACGAGCCACCATACCCAGCTAATTTTTGTATTTTTAGTAGAGATGGGGTTTCTCCATGTTGGTCAGGCTCAACTCGAACTCCTGACCTCAGGTGATTCACCTGCCTCAGCCTACCAAAGTGCTGGGATTGCAGGCATGAGCCACCACGCCTGGCTGGACAATTTTTATGTGTACATTTCTCTACCCTTAGGTACTTTGAAGATCTGCTTCTGCTTTCTCTTAGCTTTAAGATCTGTTCTGTTTTCAAACCTGTATTATAATATTATTGTTGTTGTAATTAGTATTGTTTTACTTTCAAACAATACCAGTACTTTGAGGATAGGGACTGGACTGCATCTTTTTGTTTGTTTTGTATTTGCCAGATAAAATTATAAAATTTTGTGAATGTAATAGAGAACCCATTCATCTTTACCTTTTAGATATAATTTTAATATTACCATTACTAGATATTTTAACCCAAAATACATTTTTCAATACTCATTATTCTAAAATTGTAAAGGAAATAATAATATAAAACTTTAAAAATAGATACAGGAATACTTCCTGGCATTATTTTGAATACAAATCCTAAAATCATTTGCTGTCACTGTCAGAAATCACTAACCTGTATGTTATTGCTAATAGCTTCACTATTTGATACTTCAGGCTCTGGGGTCTGCAACTATGTTGAAAATGGCCAAGCCTGAGGACATGAGGCTTTTTGTCATGCTCAATTTAAGAGCTAGACCATTTTGAGATGTTCTAAATGGCCCAGGATCTGGCCCCTTGCCTGATGGAGATGTTGAACATATTACAGTATAAGAGGGGAAAAGGAGAAGAAAATTGGATCCTTTGTGAAATCCAAAACATCAAATTTTTACAAAATCATGACTGTTGTCCTGCAGCTGATTTGAAGGATTCCATTGCTCTGCCCAATCCCTCCCAGATGCTGGAGGCCCCCATTACAGAGACTTTCCCACCCATTATTTGATAAAATCTCTTCTGTTGTCTTCTTAGATTCCCTGCTGTAAAGAAGAAATTTATGGCAGAGCTAAAAGAATTACGGCACAAAGAGCAGAACCCATATGTGGTTCAAAGCATTATCAGCTTGATAATGGGGATGAAATTCTTTCGAATTAAGATGTATCCAGTGGAGGATTTTGAGGCCTCTCTTCAGTTTATGCAGGTAATGTCTTAGGCAGGAGAGCTAAGGGGCTATCAACTTGAGCACTTCCCGTCCTGAAAATGATGAACCTGGAACATGAAAACCCAGTTATTTGTCAATATGGAGAAACATTCTGTCTAAATAATTCATGAAGTGCTTTGTACCCAATTAGTACGGTTGCAGGCACATGATTTCATTTCTAAACTTTCATATCATCTTTGGAGGAGAGTATATAGTGGGATTGCTTGTTTGTTGACTTTTTTCTCTCCCCCTACCCCCTGGTACATATTGTTCTGTGAATAAAATATAGCTGACATTTTTCATTTTTTAAAATTGGTAGCATTGGGTTGGCTGCATTGACATTGACAGGCATGAGGACTTATAATAAAGAAATCTGTTTTATTCTTACTATAAAAAGGAATCTTCATTTTTAAAAAATCAACTCAACAATACAGGTCTGATATTTATTGCCCAGTACCCATCATGGTACATAACTAAAGAACTGCCACTAAGGAGGATTTAACAGAATACTCAGCTCTTAGAGTTTACAAAACTTTGGTATTTGAAGGAATTTTTAAAATGCTGCTATGAGAATTAAATTTGGTGATGACCTTACTAGAGGGTTCAGAAGTATGGATTATGAATATAAGTTGTACCATTTTACACCCCCAAGGATGGCTGCAGTCAAAAATATAACAATTCTGGATGAAGATATGGAAAAATTAGAACCTCATACACGGCCAGTATGAATGCAAAATGGCACAGCCACTTTGGAAAACAGACTGGTCCTCAGCCTCCTGAGTAGCTGGGACTACAGGTGCATGCCACCACGCCCAGCTAATTTTTGGATTTTTTTGTAGAGACAGGGTTTCGCTATGTTGTCCATTCCATTTCCTGGTCTGGAATTCTGGGATCAAGTGAACTGCCTGCCTTGGCCTCCCAAGGTGCCAGAATTATAGGCATGAGCCGTGGCGCCTGTCTGCCCTGGACTCTTGAATGAAAACAATACCTGATATAGATCACAATTAGTTACTGTCAATAAGGCCAGGAAGGAGAGAGAGGTGGGCAGAATTCTGTCAACTTTGCTTTTTAAAAAGTTGACATTTTGTTTAAAAAAAATGTTGGCAGGCCCACTTCCCTCTAGAATGAGTCCCTGAGCAACCAAGAACACCCTTGCATAGGACAACAGTCCACAGGCAGTAGTATCCTTCTTGAGGAACCCTTCTAAAGGTTTCCTTGTAGAGGTGGGAAAGGGAAACGTTCCAGACTTGCTTATGAAACTATGTGAATAATAAACACACCTAAAATGTCAAAGCGAGCAAGTAAACAGCTCTGTGCCCGAGGCTGTCAGGCATAGGGCCTAAAATAAGTTTGATGTCTTCGGCCTCTCTTCCCATGTTTACCTTCCCTGGGGATCTGTGTTTGTGGGCTAACCAGGAGCCCAGAGCCCCCCACACACTAAGTAGTAAAAGGAAATGTATTGGGAGTGAATGACTGAATGAATATACCAGTGATTCGATGGATACATGTGTGCTGGCTGGTTAGAGATGCTTTGTCCTTTTAGAATAGTGATTTGAAATAGAAGAGTGAGAAAACCAGCCTTGCAGAATGTCATTGAGGCCACTGCAAACATATAAATTTCAATATAAATGTTTGAATCCAGTGATTTTTAATAGACTATGGAATATGCTATGTTGATATATGATTGAATTAAGAGCTATTGACTGAAACTTGTTTAAATACATTCTATGTGTACATTTCAATCCACTCTCCCTCCCTATAACCTTTTTCTGCTTCCCAGGAATGTGCACATTATTTCCTTGAGGTCAAAGACAAAGACATCAAGCACGCCTTGGCTGGGCTTTTTGTTGAAATCCTTGTTCCAGTCGCTGCTGTGAGTTACATTTTCATTTCTAAAAACTCCTTCAAATTGCATCACAAAATCAACAATTTTATTAATATCATATTCATATGCATCTGTATTTCAGGCTGTTAAAAATGAAGTAAATGTTCCCTGCCTTAGAAATTTTGTGGAAAGCCTGTATGACACCACACTGGAACTTTCTTCGAGAAAGAAGCATTCCTTGGTTAGTAACTATGAGAAAATCGAAAACACAAACAAAACTGCACAGACTAAAATTCCTAGACGGGAATCTATCTGAGGCTCATAAGGACTCCATAGATGGGAAAAGTACCTAAGCCTCCCTCAGAAAGAGGCAGCATTTGAAACTGAAGCTGGCTTTTTGTACTGGCCATGATTGAATGATGTTCATGGAAGGGGATTTGACCACATCACCTCAGATGACCCTCTGGTCCTAAGGAGTCTGTTGTTCACTTTCAAGATTGGCTCAACTTGATTTTTATTTTAATTTCTAAGAACTTTTTTCTGATCTGAAGGCTAAAGTTTATAATAACCGTTTCTCTTCTCAATCCCCAGGATCCTGCCCTGGGTAATTTCTATCTGGATACTAGAATCAAAATTGACACAGGCAGGAAAAGGAGTTGGGAAATGGCTGCCCATAGGAAGGGTTCTCTGAATGCTGGGAAAAGAATTCTTGGGAAGGTTTTGGTACTGAAGAGCGGTATGGGAAGGTCTTTTACGTTACCGCCACCTTTTACCCACTGTGGAGAATAAAGCTTTGGTTTATGAATCAGCAAGTGTTGTAATGGCTGAAGTGTGAAAGTCGGGAGAAAGCAAACTGCTTAGGGATCTGGCTGCTAGCATGGTTTATGCTAGTCTCCAGAGGATGAACATCCCCACCATGACTTGAGCAGGTACTTAGGGTTGCTTTGCTGGTAGTGGTGGCAAATTTGCTCATGTGTCTGCATTCTGTGGTCATTGTGACTAACTGTGTGCATATTTTTTAGATTGCTGACTGGCATTAGAGCTGCACTCAATGGTAGCAGTAGTTCCAAGTCCCTTTAAAACTAAGTTAATTTTAAAAAAGTAACTAATGAATTGTTAAGTATTGAAGTCCTTTGTGGGCAGGTGTTTCTTGCTAATTCAAGTTAACAGATGAGACAATTAATGTTTTTATTTAAATCTTCACGAGCCTTGATTTAGGGGGAATCATAAAGGTCTGTGACATCTGGCTTAGCAAAATGGTGATGGGTTCCACATGTATGATTTTTTTGGGTGGCTGCTCATTACCTTTGCTGTCTTCTCAAGTTGCTGTGGGAAGCTGGCCCAGCTAGGCAGGAAAAGCACAGTAGCACCTCTGTTTATTCGGTCATAAGCAAATTCCTCCTGTGGTTAAATTTGTCTTGGTAGAGCTTACCAATGCAATAACATCTCTTTTAGGAATCTTTCTTAATTACCAGAAGGTTGCACGCAAAAAAAAAAAATATATATAGACAACTACCTCTAAGATAGGGACAAACTATTTGATGTCCGTGAGCAAAAAAGCCAATAGCATTTTCAAAATATGTGTGCCTTCCTGCTTTTTTTTTCTGGAGATTAAGAGAGCAATCTAAGATGGTAAGTTTGTTTTTAAACTTCACAAGTAAAGTCTAACTCATTTAATCAGATTTCTGCATTATTACACATGCAACTTACTTCATTTTATTATATGCTATTCATAATTCTTAGTTATTCCATCCCCAGCATTATCAGACAGCATTTGTGAATGCACACCAGTGCCCTGCATCCATTGGGCAGTGCTGTGCTACACAGCATCCTCTTTCTTGCCCCCAGGACCCCAGAGGGAGATGATGGGGTAGTGGGTACAGAGAATGTAAGTTACCTGGTTTGTTGAAATATAAACTATCCTGTGACCTCCTCTCCTTTCTCCTCAGGCCTTGTACCCTCTGGTGACCTGTTTGCTCTGTGTCAGTCAGAAACAGCTGTTCCTGAACAGGTGGCACATTTTCCTCAACAACTGCTTGTCCAACCTAAAAGTTAGTATTTGTCAGCTCAAAAACAATCTTCTATAAAAATTTGCGGTAGTTCTTAGGCTTGTTGATGTGCTTCTTGAAGTGATTCTTGATGTTTGCCGGGGGAATTATCCTATACTGGTGGAACCATGAAAAAAATATTAATAAGAGTTCTTATTAGGCTGGGCGTGGTGGCTCACGCCTGTAATCCCAGCACTTTGGGAGGCTGAGGTAGGCAGATCATGAAGTGACTACTGGCCAACCTGGTGAAACCCCGTCTCTACTAAAAATGTAAGAATTAGCTGGGTGTGGTGGCAGGTGCTTGTAGTCCCAGCTACTCAGAAGTCTGAGGCAGGAGAATCACTTGAACCTAGGAGGCAGAGGTTGCAGTGAGTCAAGATTATGCCACTGCAGTCCAGCCTGGCAAAAGAGTGAAACTCTATCTCAAAATAAAAGAGTTCTTATTTAATATAGTCCAATTTAGAAAGTGACTAGGAATAAGATCAATCACTTCAGATTTGGGAAAAATAAATCTGTTCTAACAAGGATCACTTCAAAGGTAGAATTAAATTTTCCTTTATATGCATCCATTGTCACATTTTATCTAAATGATTTAAAAATAGAATAAGGGCCACATTCAGCTAATAGAAGCATGTGAGTTGATCTCAGAAGCTTACTTATACCTTTCCCATCCATCCTCTATCCCCTCCAGTCTAGGAGAATGTCTCTGGGGCAAAAGCTCCAGTCTGTGGAAGGATTGACCTAGCAACAGAGAGCACTTCTTTCCTGTCACTGTCGTTTGTGATTCTTGAAGGTATTTTGTTCAAGCCACATGGCAGTCAGTCCTAAGCATTCACTGTTTCCAGCAATAAACCTGCTACACAGGTGCCGGGTGACATGAGGAATAAAGTCATGGTGGTTGAGGCTCAAACAGTTAGCTTTAAAATTGACTTTGTAACTTAAAAGTGGTGAACATGTTTTAAGTTTTAGTAACCTATTGATAAAAGACAGCGAAATGAAAACTATCCCTAATATAAGTGCAAATAGGATATATTTTTGACAGTTGTTCTTGGTAGTGTCCAAAGATGTGGTTAAATTTCTTTTACCAGTTTGATACTAGCTGCTTTTGAATTTTAAGAATATACTTAATTATAAAATTTTGTATGTGCTTACAAAAAAAAAAAACAAATGTTGCCTTGGTTTTTTTTCTATGATGCTTTAATTTGGCAAAGTAGTTAAGATTAATTATATTATTTTGGCATTTACTATAATTACACAATAATCTGCATTAGAGCTGTTTTAAGCACCAACTATGAACTGGCTCTAAAAGCTGATTGTGAAATCCAAGATTAGAATCATTCATTTTCTTCAAATTGGCAGTGAAATATAATAGCAGTGGATAGAGAATTAAGCTTTTAAGTGCTCTGAAAAAAATGAAATGCTTTTCAGGGTTATCAAGTGTTATATAAGGCCACTTTCAGGTATTTTTTTTTTTTTTGAGGATCTGCCAAATAACTCTAACATGCAGCCCAGTATCATTTATTAATTGGTCCACTTCTAAGTTACCCACCTGTTAGTTCATTAAATATGTTTTTTTCCTGCTACATCTTACACAGATAGAAAACGGTCACTTTATTGAAAACAGAAAAGGAAATTATTGAGAGTGCTTATAGGTGCAGTTTTCTGTATATTCTATGTTTAATGTGTCTGGTTTTTGCTTAGAATTAAAATAATATTTTTTCTGACAACCTATTGCTGTGACCACCGAGACCCAAATTTTTTGTCTGAACTTGTTTTTGACACATAGCAGAGCATCTTACTTCGGAACTTAATTACTTCAAAGTTAGAATATTGCTTACAGCTCTAGTCAAACCCCACCCAAAAGACTTAATATGAGGGTAATATACAATCCCAGAGTGGAGCAGGCCTGGGCATTGACAGTATTTCCCTGTGCAGACATTTCAAGCACTAAGATTTCTAAGAGGCAGTAAGGTCAGAAAGACTATGTAGAGTGAATGCCATAGAGAGTGAACCACATTCTGGAATTCAGTTCAGCAGGGACTTATGTAGTGCCCACTGTGTGAGCTGCTAGGGAAGGTGATGAAAGTGAGGAGGGGGGAAGTCAATTCTATTAAAACTAGGTTAGAATAGAGTCCCTGTCCTTGACAAGCTTAGAATTTCATTGGAGGATATGTAATGAAGTTTCAAAATGCATGATGCAGACAGTAAGGGATGTAAAAGGTAGGAGCAGAGCGATACCTGTGAGAGTTATAGAGGTCACATACCCCATGAATCACTAAAGAACTAGTTATTAGGCAAAGTAAGGTGGAAAGGCAATGATACCTTACTTTATGGGTAGTAGTCTATTTGAATTCACTACCTCAAGGCTAAAAGCTTTAAAAAGATCCTTGATAAGATAAAAATGAAATAAAATGGTATCACATATATTTAGAACTAAACCTAGTAGGGATCTGAATAGGACCCTTTAAAAATGCTATTAATATTCAGAAAACCTTCCAAACCTCCTCTTAAGTCCTTAGCAAGGAAGAGATACCTTAGAAAAAACTAACACAGCATCAGAGATATACTTTGTTTGGAACTGCTGCAGTATTTTATGGGATTTAGAACCAATTCTGCCATTTCATAAGTGACCAACAAACTAATCTTTACTCCATATACCTTTCTGCACCCTTCCCTGCCTTCCTTACCCCTCCCAGCCACAGATGCTTCAGGATAGTGAACCTTGCATCTGAATCCTACACACTGACCTTTGGTAGCCACCTTTTATGTATTCTGTAGAGGTGAGCCATCGAGGGGCATGTAAACAAGCTCTCAGGGTCAGCACTCACTTAATGACAGTGCCCTGGTTTATCCCCAGCATTAGTCAATCAGAAGCACGTTGCTTTGGGACCACAGACTTGAAATCTTAAATATTTCCACTTAATTAACTTAAGCATCTGTTAGCAAGACTCCATTTTGAATTGATGAGAAATGTATAGCACCTTTTCACCAAGACATTCACATCTTTCAGGAACTCTTGCTCTGTGGTAACCAATACTTTTTTCTTCTATGTATTTTATGTCAGAATCTGAACATACTGTGCTATAAAAAAAGTATTCCTTTCACACATTCCATGCAACACCTAATTCTGACAAAAGGAAATATGCTTCGTGAACTTGACTGAACAGTACTTTTAAAATGTTAAGTCACCATTTGCAGACGAGAAAAAAATTAAAGATTTAAAAATTAAATAAAACATAAAATGAAATGATCATGTTCATAATAGCTATGTGCTAGTTTCTTGTCCTTCAAAATAAAGCTAATTGGAAGAATTTCAAATTGCCTTATATTTTGTAAAAATGAATATAATATACCAGTGAGGCCCAGATTATTTAAAAAAAAAAAAAAAGAAAAGAAACCTCAAAGGTTAAGAAATGTTTTAATTATATGCTTAATAATAATAACATTAGCTCTCATTCACTAGAGATACATTATGAGCAGTTGAGTGGTAGGGGCTTTTTTATTTTTGAGACGAAGTTTTGCTCTTGTTGCCCAGGCTGGAGAACAACGCCATGATCTCAGCTCACTGTAACCCCTTCCTCCCAGGTTCAAGCAATTCTCCTGCCTCAGCCTCCTGAGTAGCTGGAATTGCAGGTGCCCACTACCATACTCAGCTAATTTTTTTGTATATTTAGTAGAGACAGGGTTTCACCATGTTGACCAGGCTGGTCTTGAACTCCTGACCTCAGGTGATCCATCTACCTCGACCTCCCAAAGTTCTGGGATTACAGGCATGAGCCACCATGCCTGGCCCAGGTAGGGGCTTCATATACATTGTTGTGGGTATCATGGCAATGCCACAGGCTACAGTAAATATTCCATGTGTTTTCATGAATGTTGTTTATGCATTTCTAAGTATTTTTCTCAGATAGCAATACCGCATCTGAAGGTTTGACATGATTCAGTTTAGTTTCAAAGTTGGAGAAACCAAAGTACAGAATGAGAAAAAATAATTCCTTTTTTCTCAGGGACCACTTATGCTAGGACTTGAATTCATTCAGTCAGTCAGTTGCCAATGATTCTTTTACAAGTAGTCTCAGGCACAGTTCTAGGTGCTGGGAATAAGTGATTAGTAAGACAGTAGCACTCTCTGGTCTCTTAGACCTTGTAATTCAGTGGAGGAGACAGACCAATAAGCAAATGAATAAATTCATGAGAAAAGAAACAGATAATGATAACTGCTCTAAAGAAAATCTAATAGGATGTTATAATTGAGAATGATGCATTCAGGAAAGGCCGGCAAGGGAGGTGCAAGCAGGGTGTTTGAATTTCCAGTAAAAATCTCAAAGCAAGTGTGGTTGCCATAAATATATTTGATGAAACTTGTCTGTAGTACCTAAATATTTGTATGTAACAATTGCAATGAAGTTTGAATGCTTTTTTCAACTTTTCACATAACAGAAAGGTTATTAATGCTATCTTTATCTTTTAAGTGTAGACACTGAGTAATACATTAAAGATTTCACAATCATTGCCTGATTCATTAAAATATATGACATTTATTTTTAAATAACTACTTTTCTCTTTTAAATAGCAAATTTAAATGGTATAGTATTAGCTATTTTAAGTATTAATTCAAGATGTAGTTATTCTGCTTTATTGTTCATCTCATTTTTATAATCTTGAGAAAATCTATTTCAAATCTACCAAAATAAAGGCATATTTCAAAAATTCCAATTATTCACATAAACTGGACCCAAAAATTAATAATAAGATGACAAGTACATTATTTTCCATGAGTGCCTTATTTATCTAGTTGTTGAATAGAAAAATAGTTGTCATAAAATTGTTATGATAATTTTAGAGATTATCCTAAACTGTAGCAGTATGTTATTTGGATAATACACAGTCATCAAACAGGGTGAATCATAATCAAAGGAAAATGATTCAGGTTTCAAACAGGTGTCAACAAGACGGAGAGCATTGGCTATGATATGCAAAGAAATATAACAAAGAAATAGATT